TAGTAGTTCAGACAGGAAAATCTCAGCAATTGGAACACATCTGAGCAAACACGTTAGTAATTAGGGAAGATAAACTGCTGAGTTGGCTTCCGACCCAGGTATAGATATATCCATGCAGAAATGGTTACCAACTCGGCGGGAACCCTAGCTACCAGGCCGCAGCCCTGGGCAGCCCCGGCTGAGCAGACGACATTTATAAAATGCAAAAAAGAGATATACATGTGCATACAAGGAACATGAAGAAGAGTACAATCAAAATATATGTATATACATATAAATACACACTCAGATACAGATATATAGTACACACTTACATACATAGATATTCCGAAACAAATAAAAGTATACATACTCTCACTCATATTCATATATACATCTATAATATATACGTTATCATGATAGTTAAAGTTTTACAAGAAGCATGTCATTGAGGTACGCGTGATCCTTAGTATAAATTAGGTACCATAAATGAAAGATATAAACATGTACAGATACATTACAGCATTCAGATACAGTACGAACTTTATGTAGGGGAACCTGGCACAGCATAAATACAAAATTACATATTGTATATACATATCACATACTCTGTTGCTGACATATTGAACTAGCTTATATAGACTTTTATGACTACTATCTTCCAGCGTCAGAAGGATCATTGCTAGTACAGTAGTCAATTATTGTTTTCAGTTTCCGCTGGGCAACTCTGTTACTTTGTAGATTCTGGAACCGATTTGGCCAGAATCTGGCTCCTGGTTGCTTGAGGCTGTTAAGTGCTGTGTGTGGGCAGGAGAACACAAAATGATCTGGATGACCCTCCTTGCCACATTCACAGTTACCATTCTCTCTCAAGCCAAAGCGGCAGAGGTATGAAGGAAAGGGCCCATGACCAGTGAGGAAATAAGTAATTAGGGGAGCCTACTGCGATACCGAAGGACCCTGGTTCGAATCCCGGAGAAGACATGGATGTTTGTAAATGTATAGTGTTTTTGTGGCATGGGGGCACTTTAAATACATATCGAGCCTAAAGTCTTCTCGAGAGATTGAGGGTAGGAGACCTTTGGACCCATCCCCCTGGGGTGCTCTCCATCAAAATTGGGGGAGGAACGGAACGAAGTCATACTGTCACCCGTATGGTATTGAAGGCTCTTGCGAACGACAGGCGGAATCTTGCTCTGCTTGCCACGATGGATGAATTTCGTGGGCTAGTTCTGATGTGTGCCAGACAAGTGAGACTGTAGAGACATTAAGTTATTTGGGAGCAGGGGACGTAAAAAATGAGCATTGCCCTCGCCGACACTCGAACTTCGGACCGCCGAGTACGCGCCGAGTTTGCTGACCATTACACCACGAAGGCATGCAAAGAAGGCGGGAGAAATACCTTATAAAATTAAGTCATAAGAACAACATATTTTGGTCAGTTTTTCAGTTTGTTAATATTTAAATAATTGAATCATTGACACTAATGAATACACAGTAAATATTACCTTCTATAAATTCGTGGATACGAGCCAGTTTCCTTTATAAAGCCCTCCACGAAAGCATCCCTCCCCTTAGGCGGGTAACTTAGCATACTTTGCCATAATGAAATAACTCAAACCAAACCAAACTTTCTACGAATTACTCAAATAGATACAATAAAATCGATTACGAACAGGTTCTATATTTCTTCTATTGTACATTTGCCATAATCGATCCTCTGTACGAAAATTTAACTTTTTATTAGCTCATTTCTTTTTCATAAAAGATAGTTTTAGGTTTTTATCTTCGTCCAACCTTTACACATAAGTAAGAGATATCTCTGTTACAATTCGTTTACTTTGTTTTGGGTACAAAAATTCGATAATGAGTTTTCAGTGAATAAACACGCATTAGGGTTTACAAAATTCTTTTTTACCCCAAAGGGACAATTTGCCCAGAGGGGCTATTAATTTCGCTTTGGCATTTTGCGTCGGTTCACTATAAATGTCAGTTCACTTTTCAAATTGTTGCCACCAAATATTAGAGCCATGCATTATATTTAAAGAAATTAAATAATGAAGAATCTGCACGAATGTATGTATGTTTCTCGCACTGTGAAAAAACAGCGGTACATAGGGACATCGAACTTTGAATAACATAACCCTCCATTCGAATATGGGCATCTGGAAGCCCAAATTTGGAATTTGCTTTATCTGTTCCATATTTTGTCAAAGATTAAAGAATTTGTTTATTAACAAACTCAACAAATTCAAAGGGAGCAATGGCAACACTGCATGGGGAAAAAAATTATGTCCAGCGCCCGAGATTGTGTATCGGAAATTTTAAGATATGCACTTTTAAATAATTTGTGATATTGCTGTTGAGTTGAATTTTACGATTTAAGTGCGAAGAACATGATATTTAATAAGCAAAGGTAACGCGCAAAATGTTAAAAAAACACCCCTTTAGGCGTAAGATAAAATTCGAAAGCTTTCAATTTTTTTTTTATTACTATTATTTTCTGACTTTGATGACTTGCAGGGTTTATTATATATCTATTTTTAAACTGACTTCTGTCTCTCCCTGTGTGTAATGACTTTTTCGGCCTCGATAACTGTTATACTAAACTTCCAAAAATTTCTGTATTACTTTCTATATTCATATTAAGAGTTGATTAGGTTGCGTGTAAAATTGGTCAACCGTGAATGGTACTTTACAGAAAACCCATAACTGTCTTTAATAGATAATAGAAAATGGCATTTTACTAGAAGCCCGTAATAGTTTTTATGAAAAGCTGCATTAAAACATAAACGATTTTTTTTTTTTTTTTTTTCCCCAATTTTAGTATTTATTTAGAACTTTCACACCAATGGGAACAATTTTGGCTAAAATTTAAAAACCGGAAGTGATACTTGAAGCTCTGAACAGATTTTTTGTAAAAAAAAAAATATTATAAGGGGAAAAAATAAATAAAAATCTGAAAGCTTTCAGATTTTATATTACGCCCAAAGAGGCGTTTTTTTAACGCTTTGTGTGCTACCTTTATTTATTAAATATCATGTTCTTCTCACTTAAACCATAAAATTCAGTTCAATGGCAATATCGTAAAACAGTTTGAAAATGAGCGTATCCTTTAGAATTTCCGATACAGAGACTCGCGCGCTGGAGATAAATTTTTTTTTTTTTTTTTTTTTTTTTTTTTTTCTGTACAACGTTGCTATTGCTCGCTTTGAAATCCTTGAGTTTCTTAATCAGAAATTCGCTAAAGTGTTACAAAATATGAAATCGATCATAAAACAAATTTCAGATTTGGACTTCGAGATGGCCATATTCGGGTGGAGGATTACGTTATTCAAAATTGGATGGCTTAGGTACCGTCGTTTTATGACAATGCGAGAAACATACGTCCATTTATGCAGATTCTTCGTTATTTAAGTTCTTTAAATATAATACAGGGCTCTAATATTTGGTGGCAAGAATCCGGAAAGTGATTCAAGCTTTTAAAGTTTTTGGCGCAAAATGCTCAAACGAATAACCCTTCTGGGTTACCATCCTTTGGGCTAATAATTGAAACTTACCGAATTTGGTATGTAAAATATGTATGTGATTGAGAGTAACATATTACATTTATAAGCATCAAATAAATTCGTGGAATCATGGGAATTGCGACGAGAATAAGCTCATTACGGAAACGAACTCTTGTTATGAAGAAGTTAATTGTATTCGCTTCAATCCTCATTCAATTCCTTATGCTTCTTATCCCAGAAACCCGGATGTTTCTCGCAGATTGTTGCAGATGTGTTCTTTTCACTTTAATGTCGAATCACTTCTGAAATGAAATGATATTCCCTCCACACAATTCTACCGCTACCGCTTTGTTTCTAATGAAATGATATAACGAATATAAAAAGAAATGTACGGCAACATTTAACACTCTATCGGGAATTCTAAAGAGGGGAGGCTATCAAAAGTGTTGAAATTTCTACTTTACAGATTTATGGTGTGGTGTGGTGTGGTTTATTTAATTATGGCAAAGCACACTAGGGCTATCTGCCTAAGGGAAGGGATGCCTTCGTGGAGGACTTTCTAAGGGAAACTGGCTCGTATACACGTTACACATGGGGAAAACCACGAAAACACACATGCAGCCAGCCCGTTCGCGGGATTCGAATCTCGGACCGAAATACCAGTGTTCAGCGACTTTACCGCTCGGCGCTGGTGAGCCTACAGATTTATGAACTCGAAACGCTCTATGACCGGAGCATTTACTATGAGCGATGCGATACTTTCAAATGGAGGCATGAGAGTAGATGTATCCACGAGCACATGTAGTTATCATTGTCCACTATATGGGAGACTAGAACAATAAAAAATGAATAGTGTGTAAAATTAACACTGAGCGATAAACTTCATAAACAAAATAGAATTTTATTCACAAACGATCAGCTGGAAGTTGATAGCTTACTTAAAGCTTGTAGAGTCATTAGGATTTTTTTAGGGTCAGAAAAGATGAAAAATAGAAAACGCCTTCGCTGGGAATCGAACCACGGACCTCTGGAATACCGGCCCAGCGTGCAGAACCACTACACCACGAAGGACGCTAGGAAAGTGGGAGAAATACCTTATATACTCCCCTTTTTAAAGGGCGACTAGGGTTTTAGGGGACCTAGTCGTCGAATCCTGGGTGCGGAGAATCATCATCCACAACCGTTTTAGTTTGGGCGTCACTTGCAGAGTCATCAGGATTTTTTTAGGGGCAGAAAAGATGAAAAATAGCAAATGCCTTCGCCGGGAATCGAACCACGGACCTCTGGAATACCGGCCAGCGTGCAGAAACACTACACCACGAAGGACACTAGGCAAGTGAGAGAAATACCTTATAAGCTCATTGCTATGTTTCCAGTTCCATGTCATGGAACTGGAGGATCATGTGCTGACCACATCAGTTTTTGTACATATTTAATTATCTAAATATACTTCGTGACGTACTGTTTCTTCTGCAGCGAGTGTTTTTTAACTGTTGTTTTCTTGCGTTACAGGTACGGGCGACGTAGTGTTCTAAAGTGGCTACTTCGGGAGGCGAAGATGCCAGCCCTGGAGACGACGGCCACAGGAGCTCTGGCACTCCACTATGCAGCTGCTAAAGGCTGCCTAGACTGCGTCAAACTCCTCGTCGAGTCGTGCCCCGAACTCAGGTGAGTCCATACCTTCTTGCTAGTACCGTAATTTAATAACAGATGAAAAGAATCGCTTGGGGAATTCATATTACTGCCCAGTAACATTGAAAATCCACAGTTCATATGAAGCCGTCTGGGAACACCTTGATAACACATCTAAGAAATTTTCATCTTTCTTCCATCAAAGAAAACATTACGCTCTTAGAAATAACGTTATAACTTTGTCGTTATTTCATCTTTTTATTAGTTACGAAATTGCACGGGTTCTCCAGTAGTTTAGTTTTCAAGTCATTTTCTCGGCTATCAATAAAGTCCGTTGTTCGAGTCGTAAAGATTCCATCTCTGACTTTAATTCCTGGAGAATTTATAGCATATCTTTCTAGTGTGGTTGAGATATATCAACCGAATTAATCCCTTAACTGCCGCGAGCGTATATATACGCCTTGCTCAGCCGATGCGTTAACTGCCCCGGGCGTATATATACGCCCTTCCAAACTACTATCATTTGCTTTGCGCTGCTACCACGTATCGCAAAGCATTTTAGGGATCTTTTTTATTATACTTAAATTTTTGTCATTATACTTTTACTCAAAACATTAAATTTTGTGCATTTATTTTTTTTATTCTTTATTTTGTAAAAGTAAAACTTGCACTTATTTTCCTCCTAATACATCGCATAACTACGCGTGCCTGTGTGAAAAACCGTGGCACTGGGAAATGAATCTTGTACGTTTTCCGCGGCAGTTAAGGGGTTAAGAGCGTTAAAGTTTCGTATCAGGGAACACGAAACGTGGGACCGAAAAGAATAAATAAGCAAGTCTTCGAGAGCTAATCATATAGAATATGCCATACAAAATAATACAGATACACTTATACCAGTGAATATTTTACAAGTTATTATTTTGCATATTAGGAGCAGAATGTGAAATATAGGGTCATACAAATAGAGGATCAAGTTTTGAGAATCATTGAAAAGTACATACTTAATGTGCTTTACAAATTCAGACATTATGTGCCATAAGTATCATTCATACAAACGTAAGCAGGCTGGAACAACAAAAACCAATTATGGTGTACCCTCATATTTGCTATAATACACTGCACTGGTACAGTAATTTCTTATGAAATATTTTACTTTTACATTTCAGAAACGCAAAATTTGATAGAATTTGTACTGAGCGACTATTGAAAGGGTACATTAAGACTGTGGTAACTAATTAGCAAAGTAAACATATTGTTTTTCATGGCGTGGTGCATGAGATACAATACAATGATCATTTCATTAGATTAGTCTGTTATAAGAATATCACTAAAATCTATAAATTTAGCATTAAATTTTGTTTAGTTAAAACGTTAATTAATTTTAAAATGTTTTTTAATTAATTTTTTAAGTAGAAAGAAAATTAAAAAATTAATTTTTTAATTAATTCTTTTTGGCAACATTTATGCTAAAACGCATTTATACTAAAAACAAAGAAGCAAAGGTAGCGCCATCTGTCTACGGTAAAGAAAAATAAAAAATTAAATAACAGAATTCTAAAAGCTTTCTAAGAACTGGATATGAATTAATTTTCTTTAGTTAAAACATTAATTCATATCCAGTTCTTCCTAACACTTTTAGAATTCTGTTATCTTAATTTTTTATTTTTCTTTACCGTGGACAGATGGCGCTACCTTTGCTTCTTCGTTTTTAGTATAAATGCGTTTTAACATAAATGTTGCCAAAAAAACACTTCTTTGCAGAATTTCTTTGCTCCTGACGAAGAGGGACCTGTGCCTTTTCGCTATCGAAATCGATGGTGTTTTAATTAAATTTACTACGCTAAACACAAGATTGTTGATTTGTTTAATTAATACGGTAAATTGTTTAAAAAGAGTGGAAAAGGCAAATGTTTTTACATTTTGCTTAAAATTGGATCCATTTTCTGACAAAACCAACTAAGATTACAAGATATTTACATTCGATGAGCTTAACGAAAATTTTCCATTTAATCGTTTAACAAAACTACCACCAGGTTACTGAAGACTGTGAGATAGAAATGAAGTTTTTAATCTTTAAAGGGCTTCGAACAAACTGAACACATTTAGAATATGACAATTATAGGAATTCCAAAGAAATCCGGATCGGCACTCGATCGAAATCAAACGATTCAGCCTACCGTGGCGAGCTACCGGGCACGCCACACACGGAAAGAAATCTGGTATTCGAATCCAAATCGTTCTCAGTAACTGAAACACAATGGAACATTTAGCGTGCATTAATAAATTAATAACACTTTTTTTTCCTCTTCAGTGGATTTGAAATCTGTGCTCTGGAAAGAACATAAAACATTATTTGGTTTGACGACAGCGAGTTTGAGTATATTGGTGTGGGAATGGGCTTCAGTTTTGCGAGAAACATCCGGGTTTCTGGGATAAGAAGCATAAAGAACTGATCGTTGCATATCTGTTTAATAACTCTGTAATTGTGTGGAGAAAGTTTGCCGGTTATTAAGATTTACATTTTATGCTTCCTTCTTGAGACCTGCTTTCTTGTGGATTTGTTATTTAGAAGTTTCTTAATGATAAATATATTCTTTCTTTTATTAGAATAAAGAATTGCTTTGTCATATGCCGTGCATTTAACACAGTTAAAGCGTTTGAGTACACTCCCCTCTATTTATCACAGTTTTATTAAAGAATCATAAGTTAGAATAACTATGAAATCTTTATTTAACAAGTTAGAGAGTTTGCTTAACTCAAATAGAACACAAACAGAATACAGATCAAAGTTAACAGTGTTCACAAACATTTAAATCAAAGTGTAAGAGATTTATTTATAAGTTTTAAATATCTTCAAGCTTACCTATTAGGCAATATTATTAGAAGTATATTCCATAAAAAACGGTAGCATGCTGACAAAAATAAAGCACAAGTACAACGTTAGCGCAAAATCTTTTTAAGACCTCAGAAAACATAGGTAGGATCCTCTCTCGCCAATATATCGTTTGGCGCTCGTTTGTTTTTGACGTTCCAGTGTCCCCAAAAATGATACTAATTTATTCTAACCTGCAACTGCGAAGGCAATGCCGCATACGTAACTTTATTTATAACATGGGTTCTCAAAGTGATCGACATGGGCCTCCTGGGCAATGAAATTTTAAAGGGGGTCAATGATTTTCAAGCAGTCAATTGGGGGTCGATACTTCGATTCGAAAACTGATTGGCATAGTCATGATCCCACTGAACACCAAAAAAAAAAAAAAAAGCATTAATGAAATTGATAATTAATTGTTTATTGATGGAAAGGTGTATGTATCATGTAGTAAAGAAAACAGTGCAAAAAAGTGTGTGAAATTATTTAATATAGTTTAAAAAATAATATCTTTTTAAAATGCATTATTTTTTTATGCAGAAAGTGCTATGTACAATTCAAAAAGTAAAACTGAGGATCCCCAAATAAAAGTTGTTACTGAACTAACATTTGTGAAAAAATGATAAATAAAATTTATAATTAATTGTTTATTGATATAAAGCTATATCATATAGCGTGTAGGAAATCATAAAATAAATATAGGAGGAATATACAGTAATTTATATAATATATTTTAGAAATTTTCAGTATTATATGTATATACTATATATGTAATAATAAAATTCCATAGTCAAGAACACACTTAAAATTCTAACTGCATGTTCTTTTCATTTTTAATGGCGACGTTCTCTTATTTGAAAGTACGTGGAATTAAATCCACAGCCCCGTAGTCAAGTTGTTTTTCCCGCCTTTTCTACGCGTACAGTTATAGAATGTTCTCGAGATATTTAAAGCGAACTGGATTGGCTGACGAGGCTGACGTCATTTCTTGGAAGCTCCGCCTTTCCAGAGGCTATAAAAAGACTCGCAAAAGGAATATCGGGGCTTTTTCTTAAATGTCACGATGCAGTAAACTTCATACAAAAAGTTATTAGTAATTCTTTTTATTTACTCTGGATATCTGATTTTGTAACTGCTTTTTCTCCTGAATAATAATAAATGGATCCTGTTTTTTAAACTTATCGTCTGATATTTTAAGCTACGACTACATCTATATTTCTTCAACGATCTATTTATTCTGGACAAAAGCTGATACATCACATAAATATATATATATATATATATAAATGCAATACGTGCAAGATAAATAAAAATGAAAACCCTGGAAAGATCCCCAAGTAAAAGTTGTTACTGAACCAACATTAGAGACTTTTTCCATTTATTACCTAGTGAAAGCAATCCTTAGTCGAGTCAATAATTTTCTGCTGAAAGCAAGAAACAAGCTGAATATTTTTGAACCAGATAATTTGAGAATTAAGCTAAGCAGCTTTATGCCAAATATTAAAAAAATTCCTGGCATTACATCAAGCCTCGCCATCATATTCATTAAAATCAAATTTTTGTGCAATTACGTCTTATATATAAAAACTTTTGTATATTTGTGATACTAATAATAATACAAAACTAATAATATATAAATCTAATTAAACCATACTTTCCAACAAAACATTAGTTTTTTGTTATCTTTATGTTACTAAACATTCTCAGTTTAATTGTTATCTTTATGTTACTTATGTGGAAATATTTGTATTATGGCTATGTTAAAATACTCGCATCACATTTCCCCTACACTGTTGCACATTTTTTTCCTGCTTGGGCTAGGCGACTGGTAAATTGGAATCCCTTTATTACTTTTTTGATTCAGTGTATCGAATCTGTATTGGCATTTTTGCATTGGCATTTCATTCATTTTACCCCCGCATTTATTACCTGAAGCGTACTTTTGGCAGATTCTCATCTTACTCTATTATTTTGCATTAGCATTTCATCCATTTTTCTGCCGCATTTCTTACTTGAAATATATTTTTTGGCAGATTCTTCATCTTGCTTCTATTATTTACGTTGAGCTCTTTTGTTCGCCCCCTTCTCCTTCGTTCTTCCGATGTCCTTTTAAGTAATTACGATCAAGATTTATTCACGTGAGGTACCCTTGGGGCTTTATAAG